AGCAGAGACCCATAGACTCACGCAGCTGAGACCCATAGACTCACACAGCAGAGGCCCATAGACTCACCACACAGAGACCCATAGACTCACACAGCAGAGACCCATAGATTCACTCACAGCAGAGACCCATAGACTCACACAGCAGAGACCCATAGACTCACACAGCAGAGGCCCAAAGACTCACACAGCAGAGACCCATAGACTCACCACACAGAGACCCACAGACTCACACAGCAGAGACCCATAGACTCACTATACAGAGACCCATAGACTCACACAGCAGAGACCCATAGACTCACACAGCAGAGACCCATAGACTCACACAGCAGAGACCCATAGACTCACACAGCGGAGACCCATAGACTCACACAGCAGAGACCCATAGACTCACACAGCAGAGACCCATAGACTCACACAGCAGAGACCCATAGACTCACACAGCAGAGGCCCATAGACTCACCACACAGAGACCCACAGACTCACACAGCAGAGACCCATAGACTCACTATACAGAGACCCATAGACTCACACAGCAGAGACCCATAGACTCACACAGCAGAGACCCATAGACTCACTATACAGAGACCCATAGACTCACACAGCAGAGACCCATAGACTCACACAGCAGAGACCCATAGACTCACACAGCAGAGACCCATAGACTCACACAGCGGAGACCCATAGACTCACACAGCAGAGACCCATAGACTCACACAGCAGAGACCCATAGACTCACACAGCAGAGACCCATAGACTCACACAGCAGAGGCCCATAGACTCACCACACAGAGACCCACAGACTCACACAGCAGAGACCCATAGACTCACTATACAGAGACCCATAGACTCACACAGCAGAGACCCATAGACTCACACAGCAGAGACCCATAGACTCACACAGCAGAGACCCATAGACTCACACAGCGGAGACCCATAGACTCACACAGCAGAGACCCATAGACTCACACAGCAGAGACCCATAGACTCACACAGCAGAGACCCATAGACTCACACAGCAGAGGCCCATAGACTCACACAGCAGAGACCCATAAGACTCACACAGCGGAGACCCATAGACTCACACAGCAGAGACCCATAGACTCACACAGCAGAGACCGACAGACTCACACAGCAGAAGCCCATAGACTCACACAGCAAAGACCCATAGACTCACACAGCAGAGACCTATAGACTCACACAGAGACCCATAGACTCACCACACAGAGACCCATAGACTCACACAGCAGAGACCCATAGACTCACACAGCAGAGACCCATAGACTCACACAGCAGAGACCCATAGACTCACCACACAGAGACCCATAGACTCACACAGCAGAGACCCATAGACTCACCACACAGAGACCCACAGACTCACACAGCAGAGACCCATAGACTCACTATACAGAGACCCATAGACTCACACAGCAGAGACCCATACACTCACACAGCAGACACCCACAGACTCGCACAGCAGAGACCAATAGACTCGCACAGCAGAGACCCATAGACTCACACAGCAGAGACCCACAGACTCACACAGAGACTCATAGACTCACACAGCAGAGACCCACAGACTCGCACAGCAGACCCACAAACTCGCACAGCAGAGACCCATAGACTCACACAGCAGAGCCCCATAAGACTCACACAGCAGAGACCCATAGACTCACGCAGCAGAGACTCAATAAGTACGGTTGGCTACGTACATCACATCATAGCACCATCATCACACCACCACACAACGTGACGGACAGATCTACAAGCCATCGGACTGCACGATGCCAAGTGCCATCCCCCTCTACTGCCATTCAATACGAGACCATGCCATGTCCTCACCATGGCATCGCACCACACCGCTACCACCACTGCTACCAACAACACCTCATGTCGCACCACCCGGCATCGCCAACCGAGGCGACGATTCCGCTGTGAAAATCCATCATCCTCACCACAGCCACCACCACCACTACCACACCATCAACCCCACCACCACTCCTGTACATCACTACTCCCATCATCCCACCACACCACTACGACCACCATACCCACCATCCCCACCACCATACCACCATACCACCATCCCCACTGCCACCACACTACCACACCATCAACCACCACACCATCAACCCCACCACCACTCCTGTACATCACTACTCCCATTATCCCACCACACCACTACGACCACCATACCCACCATCCCCACTGCCACCACACTACCACACCATCAACCACCACACCATCAACCACCACACCGTCAACCACCACACCATCAACCACCACACCACTATGCCACCATCGTTCCACTACAACACCACCATTCCCACCACCAAACGAACCCACCACAACACCATCCCCACTACCACTCCATGACCACAACACCACCACGATACCACCACCCCACCACTAACCCACGACACCACCACTAAAACACCACAACACTACCACGATACCACCACCCCACCACTAACCCACGACACCACCACTAAAACACCACAACACCACCACGATACCACCACCACCAACCCCACCAATAAACCACGACACCACCACTAAAACACCACTATACCACCACGATACCACCACAACGCTAACCCACCACACCACCACGCCACCACTAAACCACCACTATATCCCCACCACCACATCGGGAATCACCATACCCCACCGAACCTTGCTCACCATACAGCACGAGGCTCCCAGTGGCATCCCTCCACGGCCATACCACCACTCTACACCCCCCTACTCATACTCAACATCAGCCTACCACCACCACAACCTAACCCTACCAACACCATCACAACAACGTAACCCTACCACCACCACAACGTAACCCTACCACCACCACAACGTAACCCTACCACCACCACCACAACGTAACCCTACCACCACCACCACAACGTAACCCTACCACCACCACCACAACGTAACCCTACCACCACCACCACAACGTAACCCTACCACCACCACCACCACAACGTAACCCTACCACCACCATCACAACGTAACCCTACCACCACCACCACCACAACGTAACCCTACCACCACCACCACAAAGTAACCCCACCACCACCACCACAACGTAACCCTACCACCACCACAAAGTAACCCTACCACCACCACCACAACGTAACCCTACCACCACCACCACCACAACAACGTAACCCTACCACCACCACCACCACAACGTAACCCTACCACCACCACAACGTAACCCTACCACCACCACCACCACGTATCCCTACCACCACCACCACCACGTAACCCTACCACCATCACCACCACAACGTAACCCTACCACCACCACCACCACAACGTAACCCCACCACCACCACCACCACAACGTAACCCTACCACTACCACCACCACAACGTAACCCTACCACTACCACCACCACAACGTAACCCTACCACCACCACCACCACGTAACCCTACCACCACCACCATCACAACAACGTAACCCTACCACCACCACCACCACGTAACCCTACCAACACCATCACAACAACGTAACCCTACCACCACCACAACGTAACCCTACCACCACCACCACCACCACAACGTAACCCTACCACCACCACCACCATAACCTAACCCTACCACCACCACAACGTAACCCTACCACCACCACCACCACAACGTAACCCTACCACCACCACCACCACAACGTAACCCTACCACCACCACCACCACAACGTAACCCTACCACCACCACGTAACCCTACCACCACCACCACCACGTAACCCTACCACCACCACCATCACAACGTAACCCTACCACCACAACAACGTAACCCTACCACCACCACAACGTAACCCTACCACCACAACAACGTAACCCTACCACCACCACCACCACAACGTAACCCTACCACCACCACCACAACGTAACCCTACCACCACCACCACAACGTAACCCTACCACCACCACCACTACAACGTAACCCTACCACCACTACCACCACCGCAACGTAACCCTACCACCACCATCACCACAACGTAACCCTACCACCACCATCACAACAACGTAACCCTACCACCACAACGTAACCCTACCACCACCACCACAACAACGTAACCCTACCACCACCACAACGTAACCCTACCACCACCATCACAACAACGTAACCCTACCACCACCACCACAACAACGTAACCCTACCACCACCACAACGTAACCCTACCACCACCACCACAACAACGTAACCCTACCACCACCACCACAACGTAACCCTACCACCACAACGTAACACCCTCACAACATCACTCTACTACCACCACAGTACCATCACCACATCACCGGACCACCACCACCACCACATGACCCTACCATCACCACCACCACCACATGACCCTACCATCACCACCACCACATGACCCTACCATCACCACCACCACATCACCACCACGACCACATCACCCCCTACCATCATCACAGTATCATCACCCCACCACCACCACATCACCCCTACACCATCACCCCCTACCACCACCATCACCCCCTACCACCACACCACCATCACACCCTACCACCACCATCACCCCCTACAATCACCACCACCCCCTACCACCACCATCACCCCCTACCACCACCATCACCCCCTACCACCACACCACCACCATCACCCCCTACCACCACCATCACCCCCTACAATCACCACCACACCACCACCGCACCCACCGTGGCCGAGTAGATGGCTCCATCCGCCAGCACGAGGTGGTGAGGCTCCCAGCGCCGCAGGAGCTTGCACCACCATCATCACATCACCCCCTACCATCACCCCCTACAATCACCACCATCACCCCCTACCACCATCACCCCCCTACCACCATCACCACCATCACCCCCTACCACCATCATCATCACCCCCTACCACCATCACCACCATCACCCCCTACCACCATCACCACCATCACCCCCTACCACCATCATCATCACCCCCTACCACCATCACCACCATCACCCCCTACCACCACACCATCACCACCACCGCACCCACCGTGGCCGAGTAGATGGCTCCATCCGCCAGCACGAGGTGGTGAGGTTCCCAGCGCCGCAGGAGCTTGGAGGCGCGGATCTTGCTGAGGACGGAGCGAGGGTGTCTGAGCACGCACAGCTGAATGTCTCCCTCGGCCAGGAGCTTGTAGCGGACCCCGGCGCAGCAGTGATGGGCAGGGGCCCTGCGGCCTAGGAGAAGCTGCTGCTGTTGCTGCTGTGAAGGAGGTAGTGGTGGTAGTGGTGGAGGTGGTGGTGGTGGTGTGGTCGACGGAGATTGTGGCGGTGGTGATGGTGGTGGTGATGATGGTGATGATGTGGTGGTGGTGGTGGTGGCGCAATGAGAGTCCTTCAATAGAGGTTCGGTCTCGTCAACGCAGCAACGTTCATCCATTGTTGGTTGGTTGGTGGTGGTGGTTGGCTAAGGTTGTTGGTGGTGGTGGTTGGTGGAGGGTGGTGGTGGTTGGCTAAGGTTGTTGGTGGTGGTGGTTGGTTGAGGTGGTGGTTGTTGAGGCTCATCACACGCCACGAGGTTGTCCACCCCCCACCAACCCCCCCACCCAAGGAAGTCCTTCACAGTCGCCCGCCTCAGCGGAGTCTTCCTGTCTCGTTTCGTGATGGTGGTGATGATGATGTTGTTGGTGATGTTAAGGACTCCCAACCTAGTAGCCGTCACTCAGCCATCGCATCGGCTGACGTTGAGATGCTGCTGCTGAGATGCTGCTGCTGCTGAGATGATGGTGCTGAGATGATGGTGCTGTGATGATGCTACTGCTGAGATGATGGTGCTGAGATGGTGTTGAGATGATGGTGTTGAGATGATGCTACTGCTGAGATGATGGTGCTGAGATGATGGTGCTGTGATGATGCTACTGCTGAGATGATGGTGTTGAGATTATGGTGTTGAGATGATGCTACTGCTGAGATGATGGTGTTGAGATTATGGTGTTGAGATGATGCTACTGCTGAGATGATGGTGTTGAGATTATGGTGTTGAGATGATGCTACTGCTGAGATGATGGTGTTGAGATTATGGTGTTGAGATGATGCTACTGCTGAGATGATGGTGCTGAGATGATGGTGTTGAGATGATGGTGCTGAGATGATGGTGCTGAGATTATGGTGTTGAGATGATGTTACTGCTGCGGTGATGTTGCGATAATGTTACTGCTGCTGTGATGATGATGTTGTGATGTTACTGCTGCTGTGATGCTATTGTGATGATGCTGTTGTGATGTTACTGCTGTGATGATGATGTTGTGATGTTACTGCTGCTGTGATGATGATATTGTGATGATGTTACTGCTGCTGTGATGATGATGTTGTGATGTTACTGCTGCCGTGATGATGATGTTGTGATGATGTTGCGATGCCTAGCTTCACTATCACGGGGCCATCACCTCAGATTGACGTCAATAATGATGACCACCATCATCATCATGTTGATGGTGGTGATGGTGTTGACAATGGGCTAATGGTGGCGTGTTGAACAAGAAGATGATGGTGATGATGATGGTGGTGGTGATATCGCCACCTCAATCTTGGTCATCACCTCAGCTGATGATGATGATGATTAATGGGTTAATGGTGGCTGTGTTTTTATTTTTTGTTATGACAAAAACAAATCTGATGAGGGGAGATAACCCCACCCACGCGCCTCTCTCTTCTTTTAAAACGACGATTGCGATATTATTTAACCGCTGACAATGGCGGCTATTAAGAGTTAAGATTTATATATATATAAAAAAATAAATATTTTAAAAACATTAAATTAAAAAAAAACCTCTTCTCTATGGAGATGATGGGTGGCTGCTGCTGATGATGATGGTGGTGATGATGGTTGTGGGATATTTCACAGGGCCAGAATCATCGCCTCACGCTCTGATGAAACTACGACCGATGATGAGGATGAGGAGGTTTTAGAAGACGATGCTGACGACGACGAAGACGATGTTGTTGTCGCTGCTGCTGCTGCTGAGGGGAATTGGGCCACAAGCCGCTTGCGACCATCACCACCACCACCACCACTAAACCTCCTCTCCTCCTCCTCCTCCTTTTTATATAAAAATAAAATCCCGCGACGCGCGCGCGCGTGGCCTCTGGGTACCCCAGCCACCCCTCCCCCCACCACTATCCCCCCACTACCCCCCCCACCCTCACTACCACCCCTCCCCCCCACCACTACCCCCCCCCACCACTACCCCCCCCCACCCTCACTACCACCCCTCCCCCCCCACCACTCCACTCCCCCCCCCACTCACCGTCCGCGAGACGCGCGCGCCACCGGGGGGGCGGGGCTGTGTGGGGGGCGGGGTTGTGGGGAGGGAGGGGCTGTGTAGGGGAAGGAGGTGGGGCTGTGGGGAGGGGGCGGGGCTGTGTTGGGGGCGGGGCTGTGTGGGGGGCGGGGCTGTGGGGAGGGAGGGGCTGTTTAGGGGAAGGTGGGGGGCTGTGGGGAAGGGGCGGGGCTGTGTTGGGGGCGGGAAGAGGGCGGGGCTGTGGGGACGGCAAAGGGGTGGAAGGGCTGTGGGTGAGGGGGCGGGGCAGTGGAAGGGGGGCGGGGCTGTAGAGGGGGGCTGTATAGGGGGAAGTGGAGGGGGGGGCGGAGCTGGAGGGGCTTTGTGGGGTAAGGGGGCGTGGCTTGTGATGTAAGAGGGAGGGGCTGTGAGGCAAAGGGGGCTTGTTGGGTAAGGGGGAGTGGCCTGTGGGCTAAGGGGGAGGGGCTATGGGCCGAATCAGAATATTTTATGAATGGTGGAGGAATCCGATTAGCTGTGAAGCTCTTTCGTTCACAGATGTGTGGGGTAAGGGAGGGGGGGGCTGGGTGGGGTAGGGAAGGGCGGGGTCCTCTGGGGGGGGTGCGGTAAGGGGAGGGGGTGGGCCTGGCCTGGTGGGGGGGGGTGGGGGTTGAGAGGGGGTGGGGGCTTTGTGTGGGGGGGGGGGGAAGAAGCTTTGTGAGAATGGCAGGGGGCGGGGCTCTGGAGCAGAGGGCGGTGCTATCGGGGGAGCGGCAGGGACTGGCTGTGATTGGATAAAATGAGGGGGCACTGTGGGGGGGGGGAGGGGGCGGGACTCTGACGTAGAGGGGGCGTGGCTGTGTGGGGGGCGGGGTTATAATGTCACCCACCCCTTATCGATTTACATGAATCGTCACCTTAACAAGCGCTTGGAATCGATTCACGAATCGATCACTGCCCCCACTGCAATCACAAATCAGCCATCAGCCTTCTCCACTGCTGGATGAAGGCGATGGCGCACGCGGTGTGGCCGAAACGACGTTTCGGCCACAACACAAGCGGCCTTCATCAGGTGAAGGGGGCGAGACTGTCTGGTAGGACAGCGCTGGAGTGATATAGCAACACCGCGTATAATACAACACTAATATAACACTGTATAATATAACACTGTATAATATAACACTATAATATAACACTAAAATATAACACTGTATAATATAACACTATAATATAACACTAAAATATAACACTGTATAATATAACACTATAATATAATACTGTATAATATAGCACTATAATATAACACTGTATAATATAACACTAATATAACACTATAAAATAACACTATAATATAACACTAATATAATACTGTATAATATAACACTATAATATAACACTAATACAACACTATACTATAACACTGTAATATAACACTATAATATAACACTATAATATAACACTAATACAACACTATACTATAACACTGTATAATATAACACTATAATATAACACTGTATAATATAACACTATAATATAACACTATAATATAACACTGTATAATATAACACTAATATAACACTGTATAATATAACACTATAATATAACACTATAATATAATACCGTACAATATAACACTATAATATAACTGTAATATAAAACTATAATATAACACTGTAATATAACACTATAATATAACACTGATATAACACTAATATAACACTATAATATAACACTGTATAATATAACACTATAATAGCCAATGGGTTTGCACAGAGTACCTTGGTCTTGGAGAAATCTATGTCACGTGTGCCCACAACGTTAAAACAATGATCAGCCACGGCCGAGGTATTGCTCCTATCGTGTTTCAGATCTGCCTTGTGTTCACGAACACGGTCCGAGACATGTCGCTTAAATTTCGATTTAAAGCTTTCGTGACTGCAGGGATTCATCTTCTTTGTTCTTTCGGTAAAGTCACCACCACGTAGAATAGAAATAATTAAAATAAAACATAATAAAAGAAAATTCTCACGACGTGTGTTGTGGCCGAAACGTCGTGAGAATTTCATTTTATTGTTTTATTTTTACTATGAAGAAATGTCGCTGAGTTTCCCCAATGTAACTACCGCCGCAGACACAGCTTAGTTTGTAGACACCGGGGTATTGCATGTCAGGGATCCTGTCCTTAACAGATGGGATCAGATCACGCATTTTATGTACTGTATTGGATCGAACCTGGATCTTGTATTTGCTCATGATTTTGGAAATATATTTGGTAACCCCTGCTATGTATAGTAAGGTGATGGTTTTGATTGGGTCCTCAGATAGTTCTCTCCCAACGGTTAGGCTGATAGCTTTACGGATTGTGTAGTCTGAATATCCATTCATCTTGAGGGCTTGGTGTACAGTGAGGGAAAAAAGTATTTGATCCCCTGCTGATTTTGTACGTTTGCCCACTGACAAAGACATTATCAGTCCATAATTTGAATGGTAGGTTTATTTGAACAGTGAGAGACAGAATAACAACAACAAAATCCAGAAAAACGCATGTCAAAAATGTTATAAATTGATTTGCATTTTAATGAGGGAAATAAGTATTTGACCCCCTCTCAATCAGAAAGATTTCTGGCTCCCAGGTGTCTTTCATACAGGTAACGAGCTGAGATTAGGAGTGCTCCTAATCTCAGCTTGTTACCTGTATAAAAGACACCTGTCCACAATCAATCAGATTCCAAATTCTCCACCATGGCCAAGACCTAAGAGTTCTCCAAGGATGTCAGGGACACGATTGTAGACCTACACAAGGCTGGAATGTGCTACAAGACCATTGCCAAGCAGCTTGGTGAGAAGGTGACAACAGTTGGTGCGATTATTCACAAATGGAAGAAACACAAAATAACTGTCAATCTCCCTCGGCCTGGGGCTCCATGCAAGATCTCACCTCGTGGAGTTGCAATGATCATGAGAACGGTGAGGAATCAGCCCACAACTACACAGGAGGATCTTGTCAATGATCTCAAGGCAGCTGGGACCATAGTCACCAAGAAAACAATTGGTAACACACTACGCCATGAAGGACTGAAATCCTGCAGCGCCCGCAAGGTCCCCCTGCTCAAGAAAGCACATATACATGCCCGTCTGAAGTTTACCCAATGAACATCTGAATGATTCAGTGGGCAACTGGGTGAAAGTATTGTGGTCAGATGAGACCAAAATGGAGCTCTTTGGCATCACTCAACTCGCCGTGTTTGGAGGACGAGGAGGAATGCTGCCTATGACCCCAAGAACACCATCCCCACCGTCAAATATGGAGGTTGTAAACATTATGCTTTGGGGGTGTTTTTCTGCTAAGGGGACAGGCCAACTTCACCGCATCAAAGGGACGATGGACGGGGCCATGTACCGTCAAATCTTGGGTGAGAACCTCCTTCCCTCAGCCAGGGCATTGAAAATGGGTCGTGGATGGGTATTCCAGCATGACAATGACCCAAAACACACGGCCAAGGCAACAAAGGAGTGGCTCAAGAAGAAGCACATTAAGGTCCTGGTAGTGGCCTAGCCAGTCTCCAGACCTTAATCCCATAGA